GCTAACTAAGGCTGAATTTCCCAGCAATTGAGCAGAACAGACAGAGAGAGGGGTTTGATTAAAAGGTGATGGAGAACAGGGCCTTTACTGCCACCTGTGTTGGCGAGCTGAGTCTGTCACTTCTGCCAAACCCACTTGCTGTGGCTCTGAAACAAGCTAGAATTTAGCACCCTCATCAGACTGGCTTAGCCTTATCCACTGCTGGACAGGAAGAAGCATGTGGAAAAGCCACAAGCAAAGAAACAAGAAATGACAATAAACCTCTCATCCAGCCACTGCACTCCTGGACCCCAGGGACAGTTAAGGAACCAGTGATTCCACTGCAGAAGGAAATGTCCTGTCTTCCAGGGGAAGTCACCTCTCCAAGAAGTGCAAACCATGTGGTTCCATCTCCCAGATTTAAGGAGGCAATGGAGAATCATGTGCCCCATAACGTCCATTTGGACAACATTCACCTGCGTATGTCTGTGGTCCCATGGCTATAATACCAACACCCAAACTCACTGCCATTGAGTCAGTTCTGACTCACAGCAACCCTGTAAGGGCAGAGTAGAACAGGTCCATAGGGTTTCCAAGGCTGTAAGTCCTTATGGAAGCAGACTGCCACACCTTTCTTCACAGTGTCTGATAGGCTCAACCTTTTGTTAAAGGCCAAGAACTTTAACCACTGTGCCACCAGGGCTCCTAAGGTTATAACAGAGTTCATAAATCCCAATCAGAGAATGGGACATAGCAAATGCAACAGCTTCCCAAACATAACATGTGTATCACATCTTTTGTATACAAAGCGATTGCACTGCCAGGTGGAAAATGGTGCAGTACGTGTATAACCTATAATATGCACGTCTTGACAGTCATAATAAATGCCTATGTTAGGGGCTTCTATGTACTGTATTATATTTTCGGTCTAAAAAGCTTAGCATTTAACAGTATGTGGTTCCACTAGCAGACGGCAGCATCCCATCTTGTGTATTACACGTCTCAAGTGTTGCAGCATTATGTCTCTGTTTAATTTTCTTTTGAAAATATTACCTGAAGTGCATCATGGCTCCCAAATGCAGCAAAACCAGTTCTACCGACAGTGGCAAGAGGCAAAGGAGAAGAATCAGTTGGAAGAGAAAAAGGTTATTGAAGAACACGAAGGTGGAAAACCACTGAGTGCTACTGCTCCCAACTCAGCAAAGTCGCACTTGGCCAACATGACGATCCCCATAAACAAAGAAAATTTCTCCAAACTGTTGAAGATCAGTTCCACCGAAAGCTGCAAGGCCAATGAAAATATGGAGAGGGACCTCTGTCAGCTATGGAGAAACTGCTAACGACGAGGACTGAGGACCAAACACAAAAGCGAATCCTTCTCAGGACACTGACGGTCACTGCTAAGGCACAACACTAACTCCAGATACTTAAAGAAAAAGCTAGGACCAGACTATGATACGGTGTCCATGTAATGTCCCAGTCACATGAGGTCTTATTCTCACAGGATGTTTCATGGATGCTAAGCTGATACATAACTGTGTTAGCAAAGAGGGTATTATCTTTTCCACTCATTGTTTTCCCGAGTTTTTTCATCCGCTATTAAGTCTGGGTCTCTGGGTGATGCAGTTAATGCTCAGCTGCTCATGGAATGGTGGTTAAAATCCACTCAGCAGTGCCACGGAAGAAAGAACTGGCAGTCTGCTCCCATAAGATTATTTAAAAAAAAAAAAAAAAAGAGCTCTGGTGGTGACGTAGTACCTAGGGCATTTGATTACTAACCAGAAGGCTGGCAGTTCAAACCCACTAGCCACTCCTCAGAAGGAAGATCGGGCAATCTACTTCTGTAGTGATACCCCTCGGAAACCCACTATGAGTCAGATCTGACTCCACGGCAGTGATTACAGCCACTGAAAGTCCTCTGGAGCACAGTTCCACTGAGAAACACGTGGGATCACCACGAGTCACAAGCACCTCTACAGCAGCTGGGGTGGTTTTGTTTTGGATTGATTTATTTACCTATTTTTGGTATTAGACTTTAGCCCACCTTGAGCCAGACCTCTTGACTGTCTCCTGGATTCTTACTTAATACGTCAGCCCTCTTATAATTCAACTGCACCATCCCTGGCTTCATGGCCAATTTAACATGATGCTGAAAAGAATAAAATCCTGATTGCGATCTTCCTCGCCTCTTCCACCAGCTGTTCAGTGGCACTAAGCAGCGCGCTCCATGCGTACTGGCCGAGGTTCGAGCAGAACCTGACTTCCAAGACGTCTGCCCGTGCCCAACTCTTGTTTGTCATTTGAAGCCGATGGCATAGTTTCCTCCAAAGCTGCCAGGGCTTTTCATGTGAATATTTTAAAGAAAACAAATATCTCTGCAACTGAAACAATGGACAGGTTGAACCTGAAGCTTTGATTCACTGCAGCAAGGTTTCCTTAGGGAGAGGTAACTGCGAATAAACAGTGTCAAACGACCCCCTAACAGTTCCCGGCAGACTACAGGTTATGAAAGTGTTTACGAGGCCTGGAGACTTCCCTTTCTAGCTGCATTTGGTAGACAGTAGAAGCAAGGCAATTAGAAGTAATAAAGGTGGAACTGAGGCAAAGGAAGAAGCTGGGGTTTGTGTATCGGGTGAAGCCCTTCTTCTTGGTGCCTCCATAGCTCCCTATGCTCAGTTTTTTTTCCAACTCAGATTTATCATTTTGGAAGGTTGGGCAACCTACTTCCGTAGTGATACTGCCTCAGAAACCCAAGGAGGGGTCGCTATGAGTCGGGTCCGACTCGATGGCACATAACAACAACAACAACAAGATTTATCAAGTACCAGGTGTCATCCTGTATATGCCAGGTGTCATGTATGTTGAAGACCCAACAACGAACAAAACAGACAAGACTCCTGTCCTCAACGAATAAGAAACAATGATCTCCATTATAATGGGAGTGAAGATGACAAGGAAGTAAACAGGATGGGAGCTGGGCTGGTGATAGGAAGACTATACAACAAGGTGAGTTAGAGCACGTTCAGGGGAGGAAGCTGCCACGTTAGCTAGAGCAGCCAGGTAAAGCCGATTCTGTTGGGGACACTGAACCTGACACCTGAATGGTGAGAAGCAAGCATTCACATAAAGGCCCTAGGAGGAAAGTGGTAGATTATTTCAGAATACAACAGGTGAATGGGTGCAAGTAGGAGCAAGCTGGGAATGAAGTTGAGCAGAGGAAAGGTCAGTGTGTCTGCAGCAGCAGGACTAGGGTGAGAGAGGCAGGAGATAAAGGTGGAGACGTTGAGGGGCCGGATCATGCAGGGCCTTGTAGGCCATGATAGAACGATGGGTTGAGTCCAAATGCAGTGAGAAGCCATTGGAGGACATCCAAATTCACAGAGTGAAGATGGCCACCCCACTAGACAATGAAGAAGAAAGCATTCTTATACATTTGAAGCAGGAATTAAAGTTACAAAATCATGGTTGGGTGAAAGATAACCAAGGTAGGCAAAGGTGGGATGGCTAAGAGCAGGGACTTGGCAGAGATAGGTGAATAACGTATGTGTGGGATTACACAATTGGTTAAGGGGTACATAACTGCAAACATACGTGCTCTTCGGTTAATTACAGGATGGTCACAGGACAATGGCAGGGCAGGTTTTCCTGGAAACCTGTTACTTAAATTGTTTTCTCAATCATGTCTGTTTACAGTGCAGTGAATAACTTGGTATGGCTTTTCTAGCCACAGTTTTGTAACACCCACTGGATTTCTGGGTGGGACCATGCAAATAAGTTGGGTAGAACTGTGATGTTGGTATTAGTTAGTGTTGTCACTCTGCCAGGCTTAAAATGAGCCTTCCTAGAGGCAGAAAGGGGGATCTCTGCCATCAAGAGAGATGAGCTGGAGGGGAAGTGGAGTGTGTCCTTGCAACCAAGATCCCTATGCTGGACCTCCCTGTCAGAGATGACCTGGCAGAGACATGCTGGCAGAGACCTGGCTGAGAAACCAGGAGGCACAAGACAGTGGTGGGCTTACCTGGCCCACAGGGTGAGAAATGTG